TAGCTTAATAACTGTTGATTGGATGTCCAATTGTTGCATTCAGTAGGCTGACAAACACTAAACCAATTGTAGGTAAATGATTAAAGCAAGTTGACCCTATTTATTGTATTCTTTTATCTGAAATGGTAGTGGAATAACTCTAAATGTGTGGTCATTAATTCATTCAATCATCAACAAATTTTGGGCACTTACTATTTGCTTAGCACTGTGGATAAAAAAATATATAAGCCACAATCACCTATACAGTAAGAAATATTCTAAATTTAAGAGATCTACAGAGTTCATGAAAATATTTTAACAAGGCCATATAACCCTTCCTTAAGATGAAGAAAAATCCTCAGAGACTGTGATACTTTACAGAAGTTTTAAAACTTGGCAGGAGTTTCCAGAGGCTCAAGAGAAGGAAAGGTATTCCCATTGTAAAGAACAGTATGAGAAAATGCTTAGAGCTATAGTAGGCAAGTAGTTTGTTATTCTTGTCAGTGTAAAATAAAGTTTTCCAGGGCCAGTCTTGGGAAATAATTCTAAGAAGCCATTTAAAAGCCAAATCATGGAATAGTCTGTATTTCATAATAGGGTTGTATTTTTCCTGTGAATAGTTGTCAGTCATTTAAAGATTGTAAGTGAGAGAGTGACTTGATTAGATTCACATTTTAGAATGTTTAAGGATGTGGCATTGTGGAGCTAAATAGGGAGGATGTAAAAAATATATATATATCAGTGGAATTTTAAGAAGAATATTGTTATAGCTGTATGAAAAAAAGAATAGGAGATAAAGTCAACATTACGAGAGAGAATGCATTGAGCAGTTGAAATGTGACCAGTAAGACTTAAGAAATGATTCTTAACATATGTAATGTTGGTAATGAGAATGATGGATAGAGAAAAGAGCCATGAGCAGGCATAACATTTTACCTTTGCATGGAAGAAAAGGAGTCTGGGTGAATTACTGGGAGAGGTAAGACTGAGATAAAGTTTTAAGAGAAGAACGTCATAGAACATCACAGAATTCAAGGCAAAACAATTTTCATTTCAAAGGGCCCAGTCAACAGAGGCTTCTGAAAAGTTGGTTATTATAAGGTTTGAAAAGTACCAAAATGTATTTGGCAAGTATCAGGGCATGATTGACCTCAAGAAAAGAAATTCCATGATGGATATAAACATCATGTTAGAAAAATATGAGTAATTGAGGGGGAAAAAAAACAACTTAAAGTTATAGAATAAAGAAAATCATGAGAGAAAGAATTGTCAAAAGTAATTCGAATTTTAAGATAAGAATGTTAAAATTAAGTACATTTGTAATTTGAGGAGGAGAGTCAGTTTTCAGAAAAAAGTTTAAATATGAAACTCAGAGAAGTAGAAATGAATGAAAGCTCAGACAGAAGGATTAGCAGCAGGAGTAGGGAGAGAGCATACTTTCCTTTGAAACTGGAGGGAAAAAGAAATAAATGAATGCACACATTCTAACTCTCAGGGTAGAAATTCAAACTTTTCTTACTACGTGTTTTTCTAAAGCTTGTTTTATAAAGTTCATGAGATAAAAATCAAGTTAAATAAAAAAATTCCACCTTGCATATGCCATTCTCCACAGTGTGTGTGTGCGTGTGTGTGTGTGTGTGTGTGTGTGTGTGTGTGTTCAATGGAGATATTGAATATTTAGTTTTAAGTTTGATTCTTATTAAGTTATAAGGGATTTTAATTTTAAAAATAAGTATAATTCTGAATTTCTTTTTAAAAATCCTAGGATGTCAGAATATTTTATTTAGTAAAGTTCTTTTCTTTCATTGAGCAATAATATAAAATCATCTTCATAGCATTCACAGAAATGTCCCTAAAACTTTTTAAAGGAATTTAGTAGTACACTGTGCTTTTATGACAGCAAAATAAGAGGAGAATGTTGACAATCAAATGTTGGTTAGTCTAAGTCACAAAACATTTTAGTCAAAATGTGGTGTTTTTGATATAAGACTTGCAACTACGGAAACGTGCATATAGTATCCTGCTTAAGGGAACTTAAAAAGGTCTAGAATTCAGAATGGTAGCAAAAATCTTGAAGGACAAGTCTATGTATTGAAAAATTATATAATTTTCCTTACTCTTTTAAGGATTTCACCATTAGAGTTGCCCTCTCTATTTCTCTCTCTCTTTCGTATTCCAATTTTAAACACATTTCAAAACCACCTAGCCTTCCCAATGTGAGTTCCTATATTTTTCAAATATATTCCAGAAATTGAAAGAGGACATTATAGTTAATAAAAGATACTTCTCGGTACTAACTCATTGATTCTTCTCACCCATTTCTTTGTAGTATTGTTTACCTCACTTTATACATGGAGAAACAGAATATTTAATGTAATGTTTCATACCCAGTTCGCATCTTAAATACATTATTGATTATTAAATATATTGTTGATTAGTATCATCTTTTAAAAATGTACTTATATAATTTACATTTGTGGCAATTATATGTATTAAATGAAATAGTTTTTAATAAATTTAATTCCTTATTATCTGTCAGCACCCCTCCCTCAATTTCTCCAGTGTCTTCTATTGTTGTCTACCAATCTCTTCATTGTCATCTTGAATTTTGAAAATAAGAAGTCAAATGTTGTTTACTATCTAATTCTTTATTTGATATTATCTTAATAAAACAAAATAAAGAATAGAACACAGCACAACACAACTCAACACAGTACAACACATTTCCATTCTCTAGGTTGATTCCTAACCTGATTGAGTCACAATTCATATGAAGTTCTAATACTCGGTGTGTGTGTGTGTGTGTGTGTGTGTGTGTGTGTCCATACTCTCATTTTAAACTATATTTTAGGTAAACTTCATTCAAACATTAGTCTTAAGCAAAAACATTGTTGGTAGGAAATCTCAAAAATTAACTCTAAAAAAGGTATATTCATATATTTTTCAAATAGTCAAAGTGAGGTAATAAAGAAGAATGTATACTGCTGAAATATAAAATAAATGCTAGTTATTATCATTATGAAGCATTTATATTGCAGTGTTGATAAAATTACAGTGCAAAGGCCACAACATTGTTCTCGCACACTCTATAGATGCTGGCATGGATTGGGAAAAGAAGTACTGGGAAGTGTGTGACAGCTGACACTCTGAGGCAAATGTTTTAATGTTATCATTGATATATGAATGGGGCATTCAGAATCAGAAAATTAGAATGAAGTATGTAACATCATAATAATGTTGGTTTATTAAAGTTTTAACTAAACTAGAGAAATATTAAATTGTCCTTTTCATCCAATAAGATAAATTCTACAACCATTATTTTAGTGAGTGAGTTAAAGCATTCCCCAAATACTACAATCATAATCAAGCTTCAAGCAAGTAATTTGCACACCTTAATTAATATATTTGAACACCATCATTACTCTCTATTTTTCTCTAAAAAGTTAGTATTACCATTTAAAGAATGCATAACACATCCTGTCTGCAGTTGTGAAATAAATTTATGTCATTCTGTGTTGTTGGTCATATTTTATACATTTAAATACCAAGACTAATAAAATATGAAATATTTGAGAAAAGTTTTCTGGATTATGGGATTCCCACTTTCTGTTTAATCTATGAAGTCACTTTAATAAAATAATCTAATATGTCCTAAAGGAACAAATTATAAAAGTTTTGCATATTAGTGCCTGAACCTAGATATTTGGGAGACCATACTGAATAAGCTGGACATCAAAGAGTGAAACTTAACTGCCTGATTACTGAAATTGCAATTAAATTGAGATAGCATACAAACAATGCATAATTTCCAAAATTAAAAACTTTACATTAAATACAATCACACTTGTTAATGCAACACATGTTTAACCTACAGTTAAAGCATTATTCCAAACAGATTAATTTACTCATAAAATGATTAGGTCTAAAAGATTAGTTAAGAGGACTATGCATGTTCAGGTACCTAGAATGCTTATTAATTTCACATGGCAAATGTATGTAAATAAATATGTGAATTAAATATAAATGCCAATAATAAAATAGTTTAGATCATAAGTATGAAATCAGGAACTAACAGCAATAAAGAAATTATATTCAAAACATAATACATTTTTCTGCAAATTTGTATTAGGATGATACTAAATCAATATAGCTTCCAGCAACTTTGTTCTTATTAACTTATTAATTTCTTCATCTTCAACTATATCTTTGGTATAACTTTCAAATAATAATTGTTTATAATAAATATATTTCTGTCTTGTGGTTAATTGTTTCATAATCCAAAGGTAATAAAACTAAGAAAATAGCATGTTCATAATAAAGTCTCTGTATTTAATCATTTTCTAAATCCTTCCTTTGAAAATTGAACTGCCTAGGCTCATTTTGATCATTAATATTATCAGTACACATTTTTCACTCTCAGTGGATTACTTACAAAGGAAAAAAAATAAAATTATGCTCATCAGGCTTAGTATAACATTTTATTGACATTAATAACATTATTTCACTTTAACTTTGATGTCAATACTTACTAATATTAAGAATAGAATATGTGAAAAGTAAAAAACATTTTGCCAAGACTGTGATATTCTATAATCTCAACAACATCTCCATGATTAGCAAAATCGACATATATTGAATGTCCTGGTTCAGTTTTGGAACCTCAAAGATACAGCCTCTGATTTTTAAGGTTTTCTGCTAAAAACTATATATACTTATGATAAATTTTGTAAATAAAAATCTATAGTTGTATTCTGTGACAAATGTCACTTTCAAAGTAATTTTTTTAAAGAACTTGAGAATATTAACATCTTTTTTATTCCTTTTAGATTAGGACTTAGTTACTTGTGTTTGCAAATAACTGAATAATTATTAAATCTATTTCCGTTGTTTAAGGGGAAAAACTTTATAATTAATAATCACATCGTTGTTATTGACATCATCTTGAGTTCTGTGATGCATAATAATTAAAAAGTGTACCAACAATAATTCTTGTGTTTTTTGGTTTTTGTTTGCACTTCCAGAGACAAAGAAATAGCATGGCATGAAACATGGCTCAGTTCTATTACAAAAGAAACGTTAATGCCCCCTACAGAGACCGCATCCCTCTAAGGATCGTCAGAGCAGAATCGGAACTCTCACCATCAGAAAAAGCCTACTTAAATGCTGTAGAAAAAGGAGATTATGCAAGTGTCAAGAAATCCCTAGAGGAAGCTGAAATTTATTTTAAAATCAATATTAATTGCATTGACCCTCTTGGAAGAACTGCTCTCCTAATTGCAATTGAAAATGAGAACTTGGAGCTCATTGAACTACTCTTGAGCTTTAATATCTATGTCGGTGATGCTCTGTTACATGCAATCAGGAAAGAAGTCGTCGGAGCTGTTGAGCTGTTACTGAACCACAAAAAGCCCAGTGGAGAAAAACAGGTACATGCAAAAATGCTGTCTTTAATGTATTTTACTTATGGAAGGTTTCCATGGATGTTTACATTCCCCAAAATGTTAAGAAATGTAAGCATTAAAATCAGAACTATTATGACAAAAAACTAATGTTAAGTACACAGTTCATATTTTCCAATAGTCACCCACCACTGCCACCTGCACCTCTTACCCTGGCAAATGACCTTTAGTGAGGAACTAAAGCAAAACAAAGTAACCTATGTTGGCATCTCTTACACCAGAAACATTTCTACATCATGCTCGACATACAATGTTGTTTGCGCTTAGTGTGTACTTGGTAGGTTTCCTGTTCTCTTTCACTTTCTAACATTCTACAATGGCATGCTAAATTCTTTTGATATTTTCCTGTTTAACCTGCTTACCTATTCTGCATGTTACTGTGAAAGTAAATTGCATTATCTAATTTTGATATCGTTTTTTAGCAAACTCTAGTGGATTCTTTTAAATTGAGACAAAAAAAGATTACTAGAAAATAACTGAATTCTGATTATAGATTTAATATAAAATTTATTAATGGCAAAGTATAAGCTATATACTAGTAGAAAATAAATGAAAACGGCTCATAATATTTTTTTTTTCTTTGCCTATTATCGCCAAGTTTTTACTTCTAAGAAAGTAGAGAAATCATAGACAGAAACAAATAAGGAATTTGTTTTTGTCTGTCTAGATCTTTCCTTCTGTTACTGACCTGTATCTAAATTGTCAATTTGATCCTTTTTCCTTTCACACTGAAGTCTTCTCTTCCCTGCATCATGTAACTGACTAAATGCAAAGACAGTTAATGTAATGTAGTGGCTCCAAATTTGTCTTTTAAAGTAAAATCTTATGAAACGTGTGTTATTACATCTCTAGCAATTTCTGCTCTCTTTGATAATGTGCAAATTTCTATCTCTGTAAATGATAGACTGTTAGGAGGTGATAACATATTTTTTTAAAGCAAGCTCTGCTTGTAGCTACTGTTATCTTTGCTTTACTGAAGGACTTTAATTAGAATCCTCACTATTATTAGAAGAAATTTGTGGCTGGGTGTCTCCTGAAAAGCTTTCCCTGTATTCTCAAAAGTCTGTGTTTTCTGATCCATTCTCATATTTCACCACCATTCATCCCCTTCCCCATACTTGAACTTTTATAAATAATACTTCACAATAACAATATTTCTCTGTTTATTGCTTTACTGACTTTTTGTTGTTTGTTTCATATCCAGGTGTTTAGGCATTACCCTTCTTATTGTATTGCTAAAACTTGATAAAAAATTTGCTTATTTCATCTGTCCTTTCAAATGTGTACGAACCTTGACATATGAAATATTATTTCCTAGATTTTCACCACTAAGGGAGTTCATGATACTTAGGAGTAACTAGAAGTCTGTTTTAATCTGTGTAGATGCTACTTACTCAGTCACCTTGTGACTTTAAAATTCCTTCTAGAATTATACCCCTAAAGTATTTGTATTTTATAATAACAATGATTTATGTTGTACACTCTCTTGTTTTATGTCTATATAGGCAGCCATAGACAAATGTTGTGACTGTGATCTAAATCATTTTAGATTGCAACAAGTCGATAGAATGAAATTTCTAATTTCTATGAATGTGTTTTTCTCATATATTACTAAATAACCTTCTTTGTTCTATATGCTGGAGAACATTGGCAATACATTTTAATGTCTCTATAGTCAATGACATTTGTGCTGGCTAGGGTAATTCAGTGTTTGGAGAAGATATCTGCTATTATGAGAATGTTTGTTGGAAGGTGTTCAACTTTTGAGCTAAACTCTTATCTCACAAGTAGGTCCTGGCTCCTTAGAGGCACTTGATCTGAACCCTGATTATCATAAAAGGCAGTAAAGTTTTGCAATCTGCTAAGAGTTTGAAATATCCTAGGCCAGGTATTTCTGGAAGATTTCTCTTACATTAGTTTTCTAGCCAAGCATTTTCCTTTTCTATTTGCACATTCTAGAATTCCTCTTCAGTGAAGGCACTAAGAAAAAACAAAAATTGTATCTTTTTGTTTGAACTTTTTAATTTTCAAAGAGCAAATCTAATCTACTTCTGAAATCCTGGTATTTTGTACAATTGAAGTGGGGTTGTTACAACATGAAATTTATATAGTGTACAACACACAAAAGATGTCCTTGAAGCTTAGGAGTGCAGACAAACTCCCTTAGAGTTTGGCTGTTTGTCTGTGATTTACTTAAATAATACAGTTCCTGAGTATAGCTAAATCTCTGGGAATAGGTTTCCATAAATCAGTGTTGTAAATATGCTTTAGACAGAAATTTTTTCTCTCCTAAATTGTAATTCTTGTAATCATTGAAAGCCATTTTGGATAGTACTATAATTTGCCTAATTTTAAGTCTCATGGATATCCCACAAAGATTCTGTGACACATTGCCATTAATTTTGTCAAGGTCTTTGAAGTCAAGTGTTAAAACCTGGAAACGGTAATAACCAGGTGGACAAAATAAACAAAACTTGTCTTAAAATGAGTCAAGAAAGAAAATCTAATTTAAAAAAAATACAAATCTGATTATTAAAACATTTACTTGGAACTTAAAATGTGTCAAATATAGGTTAGAATATATATTCTTCTTTTACAAATTTTTCGCATATTAATTTTTTTCTCTGGAAAAAGATACGGTGCTTAATGGCATCTTGAAATCATAAGGGCTTTGAGATTTCAGATTAATTTGTTTTCTCATACAGTATATGTACCAGGGGAAAATCTGAGAATGTTTACTATACCAGGCCTTCTGATGGGCAGTGGGGAGAAGATACTGTTCCTGTTCTCTTGTGCCTTAAGGTCTAATTGTGAGGAGAGACAGGAAAAATATCATGGGACTATGAATAAAGGTGATCACAATGGAAATGATGAAAGAGAATAAATCCTCAGGTAATTATGAATTTAAATGGACCGGATTTGGTAAATACAAAATGTTACTGGGCAGAGGGTATGAGGGAGCCAGAGAGGAGCCTGAAGAAGAAAGAGGAATACGGTTAAGGGTTTATACCTGGGAAAAGTTAATTCCATTAACTGAGGTAGATATTATGAGAAAAGGTTTGTGGGGCCTGATTGGATACACTCCATTTTGATTCATTGAAATTAACATCTAGGTGGTAATTAGAAATTCTGGACTTAAGAAAGCGGTCTGGAATTGCTATATAAATGATAAAGAAGACACTGAAGCAAAGAAAATCATTTGTCTTTCTATCACTGACATTTTCTTTTCTTGGTCTTGTATATTTTTTAAATGTTTGTGATTGTTAGTATATCAAAAGATTTTCATACTGCAGTAACTCATGAAGATATTTAGATTTTGCCAGTTGGACATACATTATTAAATATTTCCCTCCATATTTAATATAGACCTTAGTAAATCAGGGTATTGAGTTCCTAGAGTTTTATTTTTACTATCAAAAAATAGAAAAAGAAATATTTAATTTCTTTTATGTAGTAGGCAGCATGGAGAACATGTGGTTCTTAATGCCAAGCAGAAAAACAAAACATTATATATTTTTACTAGGACTGCTACCTTGCTAGAATCATTACTCTGATATTCTCTGATGATTTTATTGAAACTTTCTTTAACCTTTTTTAGTACCTTATTTCTCTATAGGAAATAACTGAGAGTGACTTATTAGCCCCCTTTTCAGTCAATTGATTGGTTACTTGACTTTTAATTATTCTAGCAGAACTTTTTCTTTGAGGTCTTCTAAGGCCAGATCCAACTTCAATCTTAGCTGCTTCAGTAAATGTTTATCAGAAACAGAACTTTCTTTTCCACTTTTCACATAGATAGTCTTCAGCATCATCAGAATCACTGGAAGGTTATGTTAAAGCAAAGACTGCCCTATCCTAAGAATCTCAGGTGCAGTGAGTCTGGTATGGGACTCTGGAATTGTATTTCTAACAAGTACCCAGGTCTTGAGACAACATTGAGAACAGCTGCTGGTCTTGAGACAACATTGAGAACAGCTGCCTTAAAGGATGTTGAAAGTTATAGAATACATGCAGTAATACATTTTATGTTAGATGTGTTGAACTATCCTAGACTAATCTGGCCTTTAGGAGATTTCAATTAATTCTCTTAAGTACTAATGATTAAATTATACTTAATATATTAGAGTTTCCCAATTCCACTAATATATTTATTATTATTTATTATATTTATTATTATCTTTGGGTAAAAGATTTTGCTAAACATTACTTATATGTTCAATAATTAAGTTCCTAGAGTACCTCAATTGAAGAAATTTTGGTTTTAAAACTCTACTATAAAGAATACCAGATTTTATAATAGTAAGGGATCTTAGAGATCATCTAATATAATCACTTCATTTCATAAAGGAGAAAAAAGAAAGAGGAGCCCAGTGTGATTTAGCATTCGACCTAACAGGATCTATAAATTAATAGCTAGTAACTAACCTTGAGATAGTCTGAATGATGATAATAATAATTACAGCAACAATAATAATATTAGATGAAATTTATTGAACCTATCACTATGCTAGTAACTGTGATAAAAATTTTGTTTGCATAATCTTCACATTATCCAGTGTTGATAGGTGCTATTGTTCTCCCCATGTATAGATGGGGATATGACATCATTAAAAGGCTTAAGTGATATGTCCCAGATCATAAAACCAGGAAATATCAGTGCTGGAACTCAAGAGTCACAAAAAATGGCCGCTATGCTGTCTGACTCTAGCCACTGCACCAATTCGAATGGGAGTCATTTAAATCATTAGCTGATTTGAGTTAGATCAATTTAATAGAGCCTCTAGATCTACAGGCTGTAGATCTAGAGGCCATGTCTCTATTTGAATATTATAATGACATTTATAATTTAGTTACTCATTAAATACTAAGGGATAATGATGTCATTAGAAGCTGTGAAGTGCTAAGAAAGAGCAGAAATGAGTCATAGAAATGCTAACTTCTAGCCCTGTTCACCATTTCCGAACAGG